GCTGATTGGCCTGGGGATTTAGCTCAGTAGTTCCAGCGCCTGCCTTGCAAGCGCAAGGTCCAGGGTTCGATCTCCGGTACCAAAAAAAAAAAAAAAGAATGTAAAAAAAAAGTTGAAGACATGAAAAATGGTCAATAAAAATACAAAAGCTTTGAAATAATTTTTAAAACTCAATATTACTTTTAAAAGGATGACAAATGAAAAGTAACACTATAGAACAAAGTATGATAGTAGCATGTTGGCTAGGTGTAGGTTAATTAGCATTCAAGAATAAATTGCTATGAACTAATAATTTTAGTCTATAAACAAAAATTTATCCTTTTCCCCACTAAATTCACATCTAGAAATTAATTCTTCAGATATGTTCCCACAAATGGTCAGAGATGAATGTACAGCAACATACACTGCCACCGTATTTTCAGTATCAAAAGACTGAACTAAGTATCTATAAGTAAAGATTTAAATTATAGTGCATGCATCCCAAGGAATACAATGTACTCATTCAAAGGGCTACAGTTCTATATTATCTCCAACATATACTGTTAACTTTTGAAAAACCAAGTTTCTCAGGTGCCAACAGATAAACATGCTACTGTTTCTTGAATGGAGGATTAAAGTGGACTCATGTGTACTGGCTATTTCTGCAGTGATATATATGAAACTTTTTTTTTTGGTACCGGGGATCAAACTGGGGACCTTGAGCTTGCGAGGCAGGCAGCAGAACCACTAAGCTAAATCCCTGGGCCTATTTTTTTTTTTTTGGTACCAGGAATCGAACTCAAGACTTTGAGCTTGCAAGGCAGGTGGTGGAACCACTGAGCTAAATCCCCAGCCCTACACACAATTTTTAAATCATTAAAAATTGGGTCTAATTGTACAAAAATAGCTTTCCACATTATGAAGTTACAGGTATAAAGAGTAATTATTCAGAATACCCCAAACATGCACTGAAAGCTACCAAAAATATATCAATATTTTCACTACTGTCTAGATTATCTAATTTTAATAAGCATATTTCTTTTAAAAACACAAAGGATTCTATAAATAAAATTAAGAAAAATTATTTCAGTCAAGTAATGCTACAAATTACATGAGTCCATTATTATTGAGCTTTTCTCAAAATAAATAAGAAAAAAAATCTCTTAAGAAAAACTATTTCAAGTAGCATTCCAAATGTACTTACCCATAGGAAAATTTTCTGGCTTCCAAATAAATCTGGTTGATCAATTCTCGAGTTGGTGCCACAATAATACACTCTGGTTGCTGTAACTCTTTAAAGCGACTGGCAGTTATTCCATCACGCATCATATGAGCCAAAATTGGCAAGAGAAAAGCTGCCTAGAAGTTAAATTATCTAATTTACATATTTATAGTACATTGCTCTTCTCCCTCTGGAATGCTATTCCTCATGCCCTTATAGCCTTTGAGATTCTTCTTCTATCTTGCTGGTATATTTAGGTTGAGAAATTAAAACAATTTTTACTTCAACAAGTTAACATTTAAGTCTTTATGCTTATATTATACAACATAAGATGCTTGATAAAATTACTTACACCATCAAAATATTTTCCCATCTTTTAATAAGCGTGCCCATGTATTCTAAATAGATCAACATTAACATATTTATAGAGAGAAACCTAGCTATAATTTGAAGCAAATTACTGCATTTAACAGTTATTCTAAATGAGTCCTTAAGAAGTAAAAATTATCACAGGTGGAGAAAAGGGGGTCTACAGGCAAAACAAAATTTGGAAATTATTATTTGTAGTAATAAACATATCACTCTACTGAAGTTACATCAGGCAAGAGAAATTCTGTGCTACATTTTTCTCACTTAAGCAAATAAGACTCTTACTAAACTTCAGAGTATGTTTAAGTCACTTATCAGCTGCTATGTTATAAAATTCATCTATTTTCCCTTCAATTTTCATATGAAGACTGATTAAGACAAATGACATGAACCAAGACTACAATCTGGAAATAATAGTCTCATCTCATGGGACCCTATTTAACAGCCCCCCCCCCAAATTAATCCTAAAACCAGCCTGGTGTTATAGTTCTCTTAGAATTAGCAAACCTGAAGCTACTTTAACACTAAGGACCTTGTACAATACAGATATTTCTCATTCTTCATCTTCTGACTCCAAAATTTTATCAACTATATTACATAAATTTTCTTCTTCTCTCAATGTTTTATAACCTCTGGTGCTTTGATCTTCAATCATTTTGTTTTACATACTACTATGTACCAGAAAGAATTTAATACACTCAGAAACAAACCATCTATGAAATACAACATTATCCCAGAAATAGCTCAAAAACTCCTTTAGCAGCACACAAACCCCAATAAAACCAAAAATTAGGAGCAAAAAAATGAATATTTATGACAGTTTACTAAAATTATCTACAAGACTTCTATCCAACAAGAGAGTCAAGCTGCACAGCAGCAAACAAACAAAAATAAGTTTAAATATATGGCAGAATACATTTAGAAAAATTACTTACAGTCTTCCCAGATCCTGTTTGAGCACAAGCCACCAAATCTCGTCCTGCTAGTATAATAGGAATACTGTATTTCTGCACAGGAGTAAGCTTAGTATAGCCAGCTTTAACAATGTTGTTATTAAGTGTCTGACCGAGATTAGCTTCCTCAAAAGTCTAAAAACAGAAAAAGGTAGTGATTAAATTCCATATATTGTATGCACATCACCTTATAAACATATTCCATCTGAGCTAGTTTAAAATTTTATTAATTCCACCTTACTAAAGTTACCAATATACTCCACTGTTTATTATGACTTGATAGTATTAGATGTCCTACAATGGTTCTAAAAACATTGTTGCTCCCTCAAATCCTGTAAGATATTAAAAGTTCTCATCAGTAACAAATATCATTATAATTATTAAGATGAGCCAGAAAGCTCCCCTAATTCTCCTTAGAAAATGTGCTCCCCCAAAACACATTTTTCTCACATATTTAGGATGTAAACATCTTGAAACTCTAGAAAAAAATCCTTTTTATCAAATTTAAATAAAGTTCCCATTTTGGTATTGGGAACTAGAATAAAATGTAGCGCATACCTAGCAATTAATTCTATATTTCCAAAGACTAAAATTTCCCATCAAATACTAATTTTTGTGTTGGTATCAACTTAAATAAATATTTTTAAATGAAAGTTTGCTACACATCAATACAGAAACAATATACTGACCAGAATTGCTGGTGGTGCATCATGTCCAGAAACTTCTACAAGAATAGTGTCATATTTGTCAAAGTTTATGCCTGTTTGATAATGTGCAAAGATAGAGTCCTCATCCTCTGGTGGAGGTGGAGGTATGTAGGTCACTTTTGGCCCTTGGAATTTAAATTAAAAAACAATTTATGTTACACAGACTAGAAGAAAAACTAAACGAAAACAGATGAAAATTGACAACATCAAGTTTTAAGTATTGTAGAACTTTCCACTGCTTACAACTAATGTTTTCACTATTCAAACTTTTAAAAATTAAAAACGTAATTAACTCTGCTTTTAAACATTTTGCATTTTTAGTGAATGCAATATACATTCATCTGGACCACAAAAAGATCAATATACCTTGAATATCACCACCTTTTCCTCCTTCAGTTTCTGACTTCCAAGAATCTGAAAGGAGATCAAAAAGAGATGTTTTTTAAAATTAGGGAGTGGTAAAAGAAACTAATTTTTTCTAAAAATCAAATACTTTAAAGTAAAACTTACTCTTTCCAGAGCCTGTTATAACTTCTTCACTTAAACCTTTGTAACCACCTATTAAAGAAATTCATAGTGACAGTCAAGAGTTGTGTCTTTACTTTCACTGATTGTCTTCAAATAGGAAAATTTCTCGAAATGAACAGGCATCTTTAAAGCCTCTTTTTGCAAATAATACTAGGTAAGTTAAAATAAGTAAATATAAACAGAATCTTAGGGACTTGGGATACGCAGCTCTGTGGTAAAGCACTTATTTAGCAAGTGCAAGGCTCTGGGCTGGATTCCTAGTATCAAAAGCACAAAAAAAGAAACGATAGAGTCTTGTATATTTTAAGTTTTCTTAGTACAAAAATGTGCTTTATGGCAAATAAGACCTTTTTTTGGAGGGGGGGGGGTACCAGGGATCAAATTCAGGACCTTGTGTTTGCGAGGCAGATATGGTGCCACTGAGCTAAATCCCCAGCCCAAGACTATTCTACATTACTGTATTTTTCTTAAGCTGTTATATCTTTTCTCTGACTAGTAAAGGAATGTATTTTCTAAAACTTAACAGTCTGGTTGAGGATCCCTAAGACCATCAATGGTTTAGGTCAATGACTTAATAGAACTCATGAGACTCACAATATAGTCACATTCATGGCTATGATAGAATGCAGTGGACGAACAGGGAGCAAAATCACCTAGAAGGAAAAGAACATGCAGCAAAGCCCAGAAAAAAAACTAGACACAAGCTTCCAAGAGTGTTCTCACCCTAGAGTTACAGAGTTGTGGCAATGTAAGTTAAATGTTATCTATCAGAGCACCTCATCAGAGTTAGTGCCCAGAAATTTCATTATGGGCTAGTAACATACATACTTGCTGTCTGGCATGTACCATGACAAAATTCCAGACTCCCAGGAGGAAGCAAGTATCAGCATAAACCATAGTGTTTGTACAATTTAGGCACAATGAATCTCTCAGAATGGTGGAAGCCCATCCTAAATCTAAAACTCTCTGATGCTAGTTGTGGTGGTTAATTTTAAGTGTCAAGTTGACTAGATTAAGGAATACATATATAGTAACTGTCAACATTATTTCTGGTTACACTTATGAAAATATTTCCAGAAAATCTTGGAAACTGGAATTCTAGGTCCTTATCCAGGTGCAGTGGCACATACTATAATACAAGCACTTAAGAGGATAACTCTTTTTATAGTTCATTTTTAGGTTTTTAGATAACTAGTGATCTATTCTGCCACTTTTAGGTACTATGACTATAGTAGATATAAAAGTTAATCAGATACAACATTTTTTACACATGAGCTCTCAATAATTTCCTTGATTTTATGTCCACAGGTCTTGAAATCCTCCTTGAAAGATGTTAACACTTGTGGAAGATGACTTAACTAGGATGCAACTTTATTTTACTGTGATACTTGAGATCAAACTAAGGGCCTTATATATGGTACACAAGTGCTCTACCATTGAGCTACACTGTACCCCCAGCCCTAAGATTTTGCTAATCTTTAAAATACTTCTGTATTAAAGCATCCAACAAGCTGGAGGAAGAGGTATTGTTGCCACTCTCAGAATAATAACAATTATTAAGAATCTGTGAAGACATCAAACAAGCTTTATTGGCTTACTAGTCTGGAAAGCATTTTAACTTTTATATGATACTTAAGTATTTACAAATCACATATACTGAACTTTATCCCTTAGACCAAATCAAATAATTATCCCATGATAAGAAAAACACTTTCACAATGATTTGTACATACAAATATATCTCAATACTTAACATCTGCACAGAAACCCACTTTTGTATTAAATAGCTATTTACTGGTGAATTTTAGGCGGTTTCAGTTTTTACTTAATATAAATGAAGACTCAGTGAACACTCTTGTGCATGTATTTACCAAAATATCTGTAGTATGTAATTCCTGATAAAAGTGCTGGACTGAAAAGGAAATAACCTGGAGATTATTAAGGATCTTTCCAATACTGGCTATATTAATTTATACTACTCAGAGTTTATAAAAGCAGTAATAGTTATCTAATTTCAAAGTTAAATTCAAGTTCCAGTGACTTTAGCCTCTGATAGGTAAATCAATTAAGAACTTACCTCGTCCATGTCCACTGCCACTTCTGCTGTGGTAAGTGTCACCATTACCTGTACGGCATTGTTTGCAAAATATTTAGAGAAAACACTAATCTCCTTCAAGCACATAAACTATACAGCTATTTTTTTTATCAATATAAAGTAATTACTCAGCCTCTCTAGTTCCTTCACTGTTTTTATAATTCAAATCTTATCTTAATTGAACTTTTTTCATCAAAACTTGTGTTCTATTTCATTTCCTTTTTAAATCATTTTCTCCTAACTCAGAAGCCTTTCTTTGAAACCAGAATAAGCATCATTTTCCTTCTTCCAGTTATAATGTAATTCATACCTCAAATTAACTAGCAGGACACATAGAAGAAGTAATTCACAATGCACAAATTTTATAGGGGATGCAAAACTGTCCATATATTTTTGCCTACAGATCTAAAAAAGCAAGTAAAATCACTATCCAACCTAGCATACTTAAATATCTCTATATTAAGTTTATTAATTCTAGTGCTAAAAACATTTTTGAATAATATTCATTATTAAGTCTTATTTCTTACCTGTACCACTTACTGCTGTTCTTCTAGAACCAAAAAGGTCACCAGTGCGCTGTGCTCCCTCATCTCGGTCATATTCATTATCTTTATTTGGAGAAAATAAAACTAGATTATATTACTTTTAAGAAGCTTTTCATTATTCAGTAAATAAAGTTAATAGTGTCAGAAATTAAAAGATGTTTGGTACAACAGTTTTAAAAAGAACCACAATGAGTACTTTTCTAAATATCACACAAAGAACTTCTCTATAAACTATGCATTTCAACTACCAATTCCTTTAATTTTTTATTAAAATTATTTTATAAAATAAGTTAGAGCAATACTATGCCAAAATATGATATAAACAAAAGATAAATCTCCTCCCAAAAGTAGCACTTTTACTGCTCCCAGAAACTTCACATTGCATCACACTGTCTATCGTCCAGAATAGCACCCTTGCTCTACTGCCAAATCTACCCTAATCAGCACGGCATAGAATCCTTCAGATCCCATCACTTTTTTAAAAAGGGATAATTTACTGTTTATACATGTATTACAAATTTATTGATGTTTTTAGCATCTAAAACCACTAATCTGTCCTTCCAAGAGACACATGCATTCCAACAGTGATTTCTGAAGACAGTACATCTAAGAATGATGGCTGGTGGAATTTAATGTAGAAAGTCATATAGAAGGCCACCTATTTATAATATCAGCCATATCACCAAGGCTCTAAAACACTTAACAATATGCAATACTAAAAACTGGGGCACACAAACTTCTGAAAAAAGTTCATTTTTCCAACTTAACCAATATACAATTATATGACTCAAAATGTTGTATACAATGTCAATTATTCATTTGTATCAGCCACTGTGCTAATAAATTTAATCTTCACTTTATGTGACAGTGTTTTTAAGCATTTCCTTCTTAACAGGTGAACCACACCATTTGCAACACACTACTAACTTGATCTTCCTGTGCCAAATCCTCCACGGCAACCTCGGAAACTACCTCTTCCACCTCTTCTGGATGGCCCTGAAGCTTCTGCATCATTTCCATCTTGATAGCCTATAATATTAAAATACACAGACAAGAACAACATAGAAGAGTAACAATAAAGAATTCTTGGGGACATAGTAACCAAATTTAATTTACATTCTCCACAACTCAATAGCTATAAGAAAAGAAGTAGAAGGCATTAACATGTTCCCACCAGCCTGAACCACCAGTGGTACATTCATGACTGTCCCACTGGGCAGCTTGTACCACTGATAGTACACAGATCTAACCATTTTTATTGGTCTTTTTACTAATAAAGTCTATAAATGGACTGAGTCTAGTTAGTTGCTTGAATTGATTATTGGGTATTTTTAAATATTAATACTAGTCATACCAATTAAAAATTATTACAACAGGGAATACTCTGCTTCTTGGCAGAAAGGCAGTTTTCTGTCCCAGTGCTGCCCCATTCCCGGTCATGTGGGTTACACACACAGTCACTCCCTAAGGACTGCCCTGAGCCAGCTCACCAGCCCAGTAGCAGGGGACAAGATCGTATGGATGGGTGGCTGCTGGTATAGCTGACCCGGGCCAGGGTCTGAGACGAACCCACCAACTGGTGCTTCCCACCCTTGGGGGCCAGGGCTCCCACCCACGGACTCCAGCCATTAGGGTCCAGCAGCACATTCCTGAGGCCCCCAAACCTTGTTCCCCTCAAGCCTTGGGCCTGGCGGGAAGGTGCATTTGGCAGGAGGTGCATTTGTTGAAATCTTTAGTGCTCAGGGCAAAAATCCTGGAGCAAAATGGACTATTCTTGGCAGTCCTCTGATTTGCAAAGAGTTTGATAAAGAAGTTAAAAAGTTTTGTGTTTATTCTGCAAGGCAGCAGCCAAACAAAATCCAATTACCAAAGGAAAATAAGCAAATCTTTGGGGTGATCCAGAGGTTTCTTGTACTTCAGATTTACATACCCCTGGGACGGGACATCTCTACTGAATTGCTATTTACTGATTTAAGAAGACTTTATCGACAATTCATAAGGAACTATCCTCAACCCCTCTTCATGCAAAAATCCCACTCTTCATGATCAAGTACAAAATTTGGTGCAATCTGTGCACTGACTTGGCAGCGTATACCAGTAAAATATTCAAGAGGGCAGTTTTCCAGTCACTGGATAGATAGCATCATCATCTCAGCTAACTGTACGCCACAAAAGATTTTCACCTTAAAATCAAAGCCTCAAGACACTGCTGATAAAGATGATGAACCTACAGACATTATCCCCTGAAGCTGCCAACTAACAACAGATGTCCCATATCACACAGATGCTAAACATGACTAAAATTCATCAAACTGAAATAAACTTTGGAGGACATCCACTAAGATCAGCAGAATCGGTAGCTGCACCTAGGAAAACTAAAAACCCATCTGTGCATTCACCCACTTGACAGAGGAACAGCAAGGCATGTACAGAAGCTCCAAAGCAGCAACAGGTTAGTTTTACCGATGAGATGCTCATTGCTAAATTTCTGTGCATTTAGGATTTGTTTCTAAAATAAGGTTTTCTTTTGATTTTTCTGGTAGAAATACCGTTCAGTACAATGGTACATGAAAAACAAAATTTCCAAGTTTTGGAGGAGGTCAAAAGTGAATCATTAGATTACTCATGCATGGATGATGAAGATGATAATGACTTTGATATTGGCCATGTGAGTCAAAGTTCCTATGGCAGTGAAATAGAGCATGGATTGATACACACACAGAATGGAGACCTCGATTCAGATGACAAAGAAAATAGCAATGTGGTGTGTACTGGACTAGCTGAAATGTAGCAAAATGGTCATGCAACCAAATGAAACAACCCAATGTTAGAACTAGATCTGAAAATATGGTTAAGATGTTGGCAGGAGTGAAACCTATTGGACAGAACACCAGCACTGCCATTAATGTTGGAAATTGTAACAGGCAAAATGGTACAAGATGTTGCAAAATACACAAAGGCTGAAATACAAGTAAAAGGTTCTGTAGGCACCAACAGCCACACTCAAAATATATTTATTATAACACCTCATTAGCTGAACTGAAAGCATTCATAGGTCTGCTATGCTTAACAGGAATTTTTCATGGTAATGACAGCAATGTAAAAGACTTCTTAAAAAATCAGACCTCCCAAATTTAAAGACCCAATCCAAAAATGGGCATCTGAAATGAACAGACATTTCTCAGACAAAGAAGTAGAAACAGCAAATAAATACATGAAAAAATGTTCAACATCCCTGGTCATTCGAGAGATGCAAATGAAAACAACACTGAGATTCCACCTCACTCCAGAAAGAATGGCTGCTATCATGAAATCAACCAATAACAAATGCTGGCGGGGCTGTGGGGAGAGAGGAACCCTGCTCCACTCCTGGTGGGAGGGTAGACTGGTGCAACCACTGTGGAAAACAGTATGGAGATAACTCAAAGAACTAGGATTAGAAGTCCCATTTGACTCAGCTATTCCCCTGCTGGGTATCTTCCCCAAAGAATTAAAAGAATCACACCATAGTGATATATGTGCACTCATGTTAATAGCACAATTCATGACAGCTAAAACTTGGAAGCAGCCCAATTGGCCATCAACTGGAGACTGGATAAAGAAAATGTGGGTTTTTTATATAAAATGGAGTACTACTCAGCCATAAAGAATGAGAAACTAGAGACATTTATAGCTAAATGGATGCACATGTAAATACTGAATAGTTTCTCTAGTGTGAGAAACAAGTGTAAATAAGGACTAAAGGGTGTGATAATGTGAAATAGGAAGAAAAGGGGCAAGGGGGAAGGGGAAGTGGGAGGGGTAGGAGAAAGGAAAGAAGGGAATGGAATTAATAAGAGAAAAAGAAAAAATGGAAACAAAGTCTATGTAGATAGAGAGGGAAGGAGGGCTTGAAGGGACAGCAGGGGAATGGGGAAGAGAACCAAGATGGATTATGTATAGGTGCAAATTTCCAATGATGAATGTCATTATATTGTATACCTTATATGTACCAATAAAATTAATTTTTAAAAAAATATGGTGTAAGGGCCGGGGATTTAGCTCAGTGGTTTCGCTACCTGCCTCGCAAGCACAAGGACCTCAGTTTGATCCCCGGTAACAAAAAAAAAAAAAAAAAAAATATGGTGTAAAAATGTATGCCCTTCTAGATGTGAAGACTTATTATGCTTTCAATTTAGAAATTTATCCTGGAACTCAGCCACCAGGTCCTTATTAATATAGTAATAAACTAAATGATGTTGTGGACAGACTTGTTACTCCCATCTCCCAAACTAATTGAAATGTGACATTTGTCAATTGGTTTACCAGTTTGCGATGGATATCATGCTCGCTAACAGAGCATAAGTTGACCAGGGTAGGAACTGTGCGCAGGAACAAAGCAGAAATTCCAAAGGAAATGTTGAAATTGCAAAACAGAGAATTATATAGTACAATCTTTGGATTTCAGAAAGATTTACATTGGCCTCATATACGGCAAAGAACAACAGACTGGTACTGCTGATGTCAACTTTGTACCATGATGGAAATACTAATAGGGAAACCCTGACAAAACAGAAACCTGAGATGAAAACTTTCTACAACAAAACCAAAGGCAGAGTAGATGTTGTTGATGAATTATGTAGCAACTATGATGTCACTCAAAACACAAGGCACTGGCCAATGGTTGTGTTTTACTGGATCCTAAACATGTGTGGCATAAATAATTTGATAGTTTACACAGAAAATAACAAGTGCAAAATACCACGGAGAAATTTTCTTAGAGGATTGGGACTGGAACTCATAAGAGATAATTTACAGCAGAGGAAAATCAAATGTTTCTGCCCAGAGAACTACACAAAAAAATTGTGGAGCACATTGGTGGGCTGATAAGTGAACAGGTAGGTGCAGAATCACAAAGACCTACTACGACAACAGGAAAACCAAAAGGATGTCAACTGTGCCCTACAAGAAAGGACAGGAAAACAAAACATATGTGCTATCAGTGTTAAGTGATACTTGTGTATGGAGCATGCAGTTTCCTTCTGTGAAGACTGTCTTGGGTTTGACAGTCGAACCAAAGATTACTTGTGGTAGATTTGTTTGTATTTACACTATAGTTCACACAGGTTTTTATTTCTGATGTTATCTCTTAGCTTTGGTAAGCAAGTAAATAGCTGATGTGAAAATGTTGATTTCCATTCTAAGAACTCATTATATATCTGATATTTTATTTTACTGATATCTTATTTTCCTAAGTGCACATTGTACAACACAGTAGGAAGCTCCTGACAAAACAGAAGTGACAAGAATGACCTGCCACATAGGAAAGGAAAGCTAAGCACATGTGTTGTCAGTGTAAGATGTGGGCATAGAACATGCAGTTATCATGTGTGAGGACTACACTGGGTGTGACAACTGAAGTAAATATTTTTGTTGCAGAGTTCTATTGGTATTTTCATTGTAGTTCATATAGGAATTTATTTCTGATGCTATCTTTTAGGTTTTATAAACAAGTATACAGCTGATGTGAAAATGTTGATGGTTATTCTAAATGCATAATACTTATTAAGAATTTAATACTTTATTACATTTTATGTTCCTGTTAATGACACATTGTGTAATATAATAAGAACCCCCTGACAAAACAGAAAGACCAGCAAGATGTCAAGTATGTCCTACAAAAAGGCCAGGAAAGTAAAACTTACATGTGCTGTCAGTGTTAGCGACACATGTATATGGAACATGCTGTTGTCATGTGTGAAGACTGCCTGAGGTATGACAATTGAAGTAAAGATGATTTTTTTGTAGGGTGCTATTGGTATTTTCATTGTAATTCATACAGGAATTTATTTCTGTTGTTATTCTTTTGACTTTATACACCAAAAAGTAGTTGAAGTTGACATTTTTATGCTTTTTATGAACACTCAATAAATATTAAAAATTCAAAAATTATTATAATCAACAAACTTCATTAAAAGAATAGTTTATAAAAAAAAATTTTAAAGCAGAAATCTTATGAGTACTCCACTGCTGGTATAGATAATATGCAT